ACAGCGCTCGCTTTTCTTGACCAACGCTTACGGCGCTTACGGTGGCAACGTGGAAAGCCCCAAATAAAAGCTTACGGCGGCTTACGGCGCAACATGCGGAACGATATTGCTTACGGTAGCTTACGAAACCCACACGTTTGCTTACGGCAAGCTCCTTACCACCACTCGCTAAAGGGTTCCCCACTACAGGATTTTCCTTGGCAGTTCCCAAAATGGGAGGACCCCAATGTAGACCCCAAAAAACTATAATGCTTATTACTTCCCGGAACAAGGACCCCTGCACCAATCACATCCCAGCTGCTCCAGGAGACGTCGCAAGGAGTCAGAGAGAAGCGAGTTCTGCTCGGTGGTCGGCAAGTGCCGAAGCCTAAAAATGATTACCACAGCAGGTCTAAGTCAAAGGGTAGCACTTGAGCTTCAGTCTAAACTCCTAGTATCCCTCTTAATAAGTCCGATAATACTCCCCTATAGAAACTCCTTATATAACCCTTTTTTAGGGGTCTAGACTACAGCTCATTTGAATACGCAGTTGTCAGGGATCTCTGCTGGAGCATGGCAGCAGCCTGCTTTTGACGACGCGCTTTCATGCAAGTCGTGTGACCACAGCGCTCTATATGGCTGAAAGATCTTGCACAGGAACAAAGGACACTTCCTAAAACCCGTCCTAAAGGGCTGCCAAATGAACTGAATCAGCCGTCAACTGCAAGATAGAAGTGGTTAAGAACAGTGATTCTAGCACTTTCTAGCTTCCATTGTCGAAGCCGAGCATCGCTTACTCGTGCTCACAAGGAGAGCTTGGGCAACTTTGCTCCCAGACCGCGAAATCTTGCGATTTAGCGTCTGGGAGCATTGAAGTGAAAAGATGTGTTGCATCGGGCAATAGATTTAGTCTGTTTGGCTGCAGGAGTTTCTGGCACAAAGATGACTGAGAGTTTGGATTAGCCCTTGACCTTCTTGAAGCTACTTGTTGTGTCTCCAGAAACTCGGGCAGCTCTCGTGCTGTGATTCGCATCAGCATCTAGACCAACACGAGCGGAGGGTTTTGGGCCCTCGTGTCCAAACAGCGCCAGTGCCCACAAATTATGACAATTTCATGGCATGCTCAAGCCTTGCAGACAATCATTAGTTCTTGCGAAGAAGCGAAACTTCCATAAATGCTTCTTCTTGACTCTTCTGCTTTGTGGTCGCTGGACACCGCAAATCCTAACATTAATTACAATTACAGATGCTGCCTAACCTGTGGGAATTGTCCAGCTCGATTGGTTGGTCGCCCGATTGTAGTAATACGTCCTTGGCCACAGAAACTCACAACTCAAGACTACACAAACTGGGGGCGAACACCAAAGCAAAATCCGGATCTTTAAGCAGGAAACTTGCCACTTCCTGGGTCCACTCCTTGCTCCCATCCAGGAGGAAGTGTTGGCTGTGCCTGACATGAAACCATCGGCCAGGTGTCAGGTTGTAAGCTAAGCTCCGAGCCTCAGCTGCTGGTTGAGCTTGGCTAGCTCCTTCTGCCGGAGCAGTCGCTCCGTCTACAGCCTGCGCAGCTTCCGCAGGAGCCGTTGTTGGAGCGGATTCCGGCGCAGTCGCTGTTGCGTTACCCGGTTCAGCTGTTTCACTTGCTGGGGTGGCAGCTGGGGCGGTCGCAGTCGCGGCCGCTGGTGCCGTTGCTAGTGCTGTTGCTGGTGCATTTGCCATGCATGCCGTGCCCGGCGCAGGGGCCGTGGAAACGATCATTGGGGGTGGCATCTGTGCTGCTGGAGGTAACCAGCTGGTCTCTCCCGTCGATCTGTTTGCATAGTAGACCTGCCATGGAAGCTTGTCTCCGCCCTAACTCTGTGACACACGAAGGCGCCTTGCCGCTTGCTGGGTCTACCGCTTGCTCCCAGCCCGGAGGCAGGGCAGGCACTGCTGTTGGCGCTGATAGCTGCATGCCTGAGCTGACGCAAGGTGACAGAAAATCTCCGTGCTTCTATTGCCTGAGCCCGTTGCCTGCAGTGCCGGGTAGCACAGCATAGCCTGACACACACATCAGCAAATTCCAGTGCGCATGCCATGAAAACGAGGATCCATAGAGAGACTACTGTAGAATATTCCTGTGCGGAACAACTCTAAACCCTCCCCCTCAACTCGTCGTCTACCAGAACAAGGAACGATGAACTGGATTCTCTCTCATTTCCCATGTCCATGAAGATCTTAATTGCAAATGCCATGCTTCCAGAACCATATTTTATTCGGCCTGCTGGAAGCGCCCCAGACATGGCACCTGGCATTCCTCCTGAAAGTGCTACACCGCCCATGGCCACTCCAGGCATGGCTCCTGCCAGATGAAGCCCCGCACATTACATCTGTAAGAATCAAAGCCTAGCTCGGTCCTTGAACAGCGCCATATCCCGCTGGCATTGTCTTGCGAGGGACACGAATAAGCAAAGGCACGGCACACAGATCAAGCAAAAGAGAGGGGCCTGCAGACCAGCAACGCCATAGGGAGAGTAGCGCTGCCTAAGAAAGACAAGACTCTGGGAGCTTGTTCTCCTGTGCTCATGTGTTGCCAGCTTAGCCCAGGAACAGATCTACATACCCGTTCGGTATGGCACCATAGCCACCTGGCACACAAATACAGAGTACACAGAGTACACCGCATCTTACTTCGCGCCCCTGCAGATAGTGGAGCCTGCCAAACCGGCCAGGCCTCCTGACAGGGCATGCCGCACTGGCTCTCAATTCAAAAGATGCTGAGCTTCAGCCGGCCTGGCGCTGCAGGCAACGCAGCTGCTATAACTCCTTCCAAAATGCCTCATTCAAACGGTTAAGGCATGAAAAAGGACAAGTCTGAGGCTACCCTCTGTCTTCCCCGAAGGAGCACTCTCAAGTCTCAGGCATGGGCCTACGACGCTGACTGCAAGGGATAGATTAGAGTCTTTCTTGATATGCCAAGGTGCTCCAGGTAGTTGCCTTCGGCTTGTTCGTCCGAGCCTGCAGAAACTACGGCACCCATCAAGTGGATGGCCGAACCCTCGAGGCTCAGCTTCAGTGCACAGCGCACCTCGATTTCTGACTCGAAAGTCACTCTGAGCCCCTCCCGGCACTTGGACTCGTCAGAACCTACCTGGGCAAAATGGATTTGGAAAAAGCTCCACCATCAAGGCCTTGCTGCAGTCGAGAGGCCAGGTTGCGCGCCGGCGCGAATATGTCTCCCTGACCAGGCCTTAGGATGCAAGCAGAAGAAAATGCGTACCCCTAAGGCCATGCCTTAAGGAAGCTGTTTATCACATGGCCAGACACGACAACTGTATCGGCAGAGGTATAAGGCCAAAATGGTGGCAAATTTGAGGATGGTCTTCAAAGCAAAGAGGCATTTCGTTCAAGACACTGGCACACATTGTGCTTCTCAGCACAAAAGATGCGAGCTTATTGAGTCCGAAAGCTCCACACGCCAAAAAGCTCATACGATGTTCCGGGGTGCTGGATTTGCACCGCGGTGCAATAGATCATAAGGTTGGAAATATCATCATACTGAAATCTGCCATCTTGTACGAGATGCTTCTGGGATACATTGTCTTGCATGTTTTGCCATTCTTTCAGTTTTGGTTTGTATCCGTTTTGCCAGCTTCAAAATACGAACGCCCCCTGGTTATAGGAGGGCTTGCCAGGCTTTTAAGGTACGGTGTTGCTACCATATCCAGGATACGGTTTTGAAGGTTTGCTAAGTTTGGCGCAACATGTATTGTGGGTGCCAGGTGGAAGACCTCCTTAACGCTTGGTAGGAAGAGAAGCAGGCATGTGCTGGCACAGCAGTAGCTGACCAGGGTTCAGGGTTGCTCGCTTGTTTGTGCTCGCCTTTCTCCGCTGAAATTTCGCCTGGCTAGGCTTCTTTGGTAGGCTCAGGAGACCGGAAAGCCTCAGATAGTTTCCCTTCACGACCATTTCTTCTTTCCCCATTCGTTGTGCGCTACTTCCAGCACCCAGCTAATCAACATGGCAGACCAGCGTAGCAG